TGTGTGTGTGTGTGTGTGTGTGTGTGTGTGTGTGTGTGTGTGTGTGTGTGTGTGTGTGTGTGTGTGTGTGTGCGCGCGCATTCAGCCGGGGTTACATGGCAGCTCCACCGCCCCACCAAGCCCCACCTGGACACATGGCCCAGATGCCAAGTGGACCCCCTCCGGATATGAGAGGCCCTCCAATGGACATGAGGGGCCCACCCATGGGTGAACCACGCAACATGATGGGTGACCCCAGAGGGCCCCCTATGATGGAGCAACGCGGACCCCCAATGGAAACCAGAGGTAGCTGCTCTCATTTCGCTTCAACGTACGATAGTTTAAATTTGTTTGTGACGATTGTGTGCGTGCAGTCGACGTTTTGTTGAGTTTCAGTCACGAAACAAAAGTCTTTTGTCCCAGCGAGGTGTTTTTACAGGATAACAACGGTTGTTTTGTTAAGAAAAATGCGTTTTATCTTTCTGCTGAGATGAAACTTCTTTCCTTATATTTAATATCTCCTTAATCTTTTACGGATCGACTACTCATTCCTCAGCCAGTTGTGAACAGTCGGTGTGTTTTTGTTTCCTGCTGCAGGTCGTGACCCGAGGGCGATGGACGCCCGTGGTCCGGTGACGGGTCAGAGGGTTCCCATGGCCACGGGAATGCAAGTCCCCGTTCCTCATAGCATGGGTCCGAACGCACCTCCACCTGCAAGACCGGTAACAGCTGCATCTAATCTAGTCTTTGTCTGGGCCAGCTGTTTGGTTATGATTTTCTATTTTAAATGAATTACTACGAAGCACAAAACTGTAAAAACTAAAATCTGTTTATTTGATTTGGTGATTTCAAGACTTCTTTTTACTGAGTCTGTACATTTAATACATCACCAGGAATTTGAATCTCCTCCTTTGACTCGTCAATTATTAGACTACGAATACTGATTACATTAATAAAACGCATTGTAAAAGTCATGTGACTGTGACTTGAAGAAGAAAGATGCAAAATACATCCGCGCTAACTGCTCAGACTGGATATTCATGACCTCCGTACGCTTGTCCTGCAGGGTCCTGGTAACTCTGGCGCTCCTCCGTCAGGAGGAGGATTCAGTCCGGGGCAGAGCCAGGTCTCCACACAGGACCAGGAGAAGGTGGGTGCCACTTAATCTGTCCCCCCTGGTTGTTGAAGTGCCTCTGAGCAAAATGCTCATCCTTTTTTTGCACGACTCATTGTTTTTTGTTTACTTTGAGGGCAGAAAGGTACATTTGACCTCCTGTTTGACATTTGTGTTTGTCCCTCTCTAGGCTGCCCTGATTATGCAGGTCCTGCAGCTGACCCCAGAACAGATCGCCATGTTGCCCCCGGAGCAGCGGCAGAGCATCCTCATCCTCAAAGAGCAGATTCAGAAGACTGCAGGAGGGGCACCTTGATGGTCTGACTGAAAAAGTTTCTTCATTCCCTTCACAACTATTTCCATTCCTCCAGGAAATTCACTGGTTTTGAAACCTGACACATTATTCTGATTTCCTTTTTATTTATTTATTTTCAGGACTCTCCACCCCGCTGACTCGGTCACCTTCAGCTCCAACCGTTCTGAAGACGTCTCATCTTAGTTTGGAATATTGTATAGTTTTTTTTTCTACTCAGATTGTCTGTTTGTGTATGAAAGAGCCAGGTTGTTGCTTGTGGGTTTAAAAATAAGTCACACATTTGAGTGGATGATGAATGCTGAACAGATTAAAAAAAAAAAAAAAGACCAGGGATTGATTGTCATGAGGTTTCATCTTTTTTCATGTTATCGGCTCTGGAAAATGTCTGGATGTTGTTTTTAATTTCAATAAAACAAAAGAAGACAATGTTACATTCATTTATTTATAGTGAGTTTGGAGTTTTACACATGAAAAGGGATTAAAAATAGCAAAATGTGAAATAAAAGCAATAAGTCCATCCAGGTCTTGGAGGATAATTAACCCACAGGCTACGTGACAGGAAGTCTTCCTCCCGGTTTACTTTTATCGTCTTATCACCGATAAGGAAATGCCAGCGTATAATAAACAAGCCTGTTTCCAAGAAACCCATTTCCTTAACAGATTCAGAAAAGTCAAAGTTCAAGAACACATTTTATTTAGTGTTTGCAGGCAAATTCTGAAGAAAGATGAAATATGCTGATTTCAAGCTAAAACGATTAGTCCATCAACAGAACATTAATCAACAATTTTGATAATTGATTTAAAAGTTCTATTTTAGTCAAGAAAAATTCCCCAAATCCACCGCCTCCAGCTTCTTAAATTATAATCATTTTCTGCTTTTCTTTGTCGTTTGTACGCGATGGTAAACTGAAACTTGGGATCCAAGAAACTTTTTCTGACATTCGCACTAAAAACTATCAGGAAGATTATTGACGAATGGAAATGATTGCTGCTTGCAGAGCGGCTATAGTAGTAAATTCTAAATTACAACATGAATCCTTATGCAAAAAACCACCTGACGTGTTAAGTGTACTATAGAGACTAAAGGTTTGAGGTCCTGATGTCTTGTAACAGTAAAATATTTCCTCATCTATAGTCGCAGGCTTCACCTTAAGTACATCTTAAAACTGGTGATGCAATGAGAGAATATCTGAGTGTGTTTGACTGTATCAACAATGATTCATAGTGGAAACTCCATCTATCAATGGTTTCATCATTGATAAAAAGAAGTTAGTCCCTGAGTAGTGCAGATGAACAACATATCCTGCCTCTTTGTCAAACACACCCAACTATTGCCACAGGTTGCCAGGCAGCTTTCTCATTTGTTGTCTTACAATAATACAGAAACTGTTGCCCTTAAAACACCCAAATTATGCTTCCTTGTTTGTTTTTTCCACTCAGAAATTCTCCTTGTTGAAGTAAAATTTGGTCTTCCGGGGATCCACATCTGAGTATTTGGCACATTTCTTTGACAAGACTTTAGCCAGAACTGCAGGGCCACACAAGAAAGTTCCCACCACAGACCTGAAAACATGGAGAGTTAGGAGGTTAAAGTTTTAACGTGAAAAGTGCATGACAATGGGTGGAAAATATCAGAGTACAATCCACGCAAGTAACGATGATAAACATTACTAGATGTGCTTTACAATAAAGGAGAATAGACATAAAAACAGGGAAAATAAGATGGAAAATATAACAATAAAATTAGGGCAAATACAAGTTAAACCCACTGAATGATAAAATTAGTACCCATATTTGCACATATACATCAATAAACATTGCAGCAGCATCAGAAGGTCTCATCTACTTGAGTTGTAGAGACTTGAATTTTTTTAGACGAAAACTCAAAGTATTTTGCCTCGAGTGTACTCTCGACCAATCTCTACTCAAGTTCTGTACTAATACCTGTAATGACTAGTAACTTGAGGTGGCAAATAAATGGTAAAAATTAAAAACAACATTTAAAATGTGGTGGAAGAAGGAAGTAGCAAATGGAAATACACAAGTTAAGTTAATATATTACTTAATAAGTAAAAGTATTTTCCATCACTTTGTATTTGAAACCAGCTGCTACAGTAAAACACTGCCCACACATTGATGCATCAGTATGAACAATCTATTTATATAATACTTAATATGTCAGTCTTTTTTCTGCAGAAGCAGTACTTTTACTTTTGATAAAGTACATTTTGGTGATACCTACTGAAGGATTGTAGGATTGTGAATACAGGACTTATACATGTAATGTGGTATTTTTACAATGTTTCACTGATACTTTTACTAATGTAAAGGATCTGAATACTTCTTCCACCACCGATCAGTCAATCTCCTGTATTTTAATAAGGTATAAATTATTTTTGAATTGATTTTCTAAAAAGAGGATTTTATCTTACGTGGGGTTTTCCTTGCGGACTTGTTCGAACTCCTTGTCCCAGACGGGTCTGCCATAGTGAGTTTTCTGTTTGAGCCCAGTGACCACGTCGGTGTCCTCATCAGAGTGAACCCAGGCATGAGTAGCCTGTGATGAAGAGCGGGGGAATAAAGGAGATGAATGAAATAAGCTGAACGCTGTTTGTCTGAACTTTGTCTGTGATTCACACACACTTACATGGCCTTGATCCCATCCGGTCAGATAGAGTTTGTAGGTGAGGAAGTCCGCCATTCCTCGCTCCTCCATCTCTCTCTCCAGCACCTGCAGGAGGTCGGCGAACCACTCAAAGGCGTGTGTTTCCCGGCAGATCCAATAGAAGTAGATCTGAAACCAGGAAATAGATGCAGGCGTGTTGAACAATGATCCTCTCACAAAAGAGCAGATAATGACTTGTCTTTCTAACGTGGGTGGATTGAGTTTGTTATTTAAATACATAATAAATAACAAACTTATTTATTCCTGTGTTTACAGGAATAAATTGGGACATGACTGTCTGGGTTGTTACCTTCCTGGTGCGCAGTTTAGGGTTGGAGATTTTGAACTTGTACCAGATGGACTTGAGGATGGAAGCGAAGGGAGTGACTCCGATGCCGGCACCGACCAGCATGCTGACCTCATAGTCGAAAACGTCCTCGCTGGCAGTGCCAAAGGGTCCGTCCACACCCATTCTGAGGACAATAAATAACCGCTTATCAGTTGAAAATTATTTACCAAGGCCTTCAAAATGAGTTTAAATCATCATCATAAAAACTAATACAAAGTTGGCTCATGTTAGCTTTCATGCAGTTTCGTGTCACAATAAAACCCCCTATGTTACTCATCCTGTCGTCATTGTGGCTTTTTTAGTGCATTTCGCATTTTCTCTGAAGCTCTCCTAGTTGCCTTAATCATTCTTCACCTTGAAAATCAGCTGCTGAGAATATAGGTTTTCATTTATTTTCATTAGAGACAAGTATGCAGCAAAGGCCCATATAGCATGAGTTAAGTTTGTGATGCCCGGCCCTGGTTTTGATTTAGGTGATCTGTGGGAGCTACAGACAGTTTGACAGAAAACTGGCTCAGGTTTTGGTATTGTGCAGGCCAGCACCAGATCAAAATCAATCTCAACAAGATAAGTTACTCAACAGTAACTTAAGTAAGAACAGGAAATTTGAAACAACCCAAGAAAATCTGTCCCACGGAAGTTAAATCATTATTTTTTTTGTTTTACCACAGTGCATGAACAAAAATGTCTTCACTAACAATGTGGGCTTTTTTAAAATATTATCACTCACTTGGGTCCCTGTGTTCCCTCTGGTAGCTGCTGCATGATGTCAATGAGTTTGTCAGTCCAGTCCCCGGCCGAGCGGATGTGGACGGCGAAGAAGTCCTCCTCGGGGGCGGAGGTCATGGTGAACGGGTGCCACTCCAGCTGGGAGATGGCCGGGCAGTTGAGGAAGACGTATTGGCCCACCTCCATTTTGAAACCGTCCTTCATCAGCTGCAGCTCCAGCACCTTGGATGGATGCATCACAATCTGAAAGTAAAAAATAAATGACTGGTGAAAAAGCCATCACATCATTTGCCAAACAACTCAGAAGGCAAAGCTGAATCCTGAATCAAACGTACCTTTCTGTATGTGACTGCCTGCGTGTAACGAATGAAACGCAGCACACGTTCACAGATGTACAGGACCATTGGACCGATCACCCACCACCAGGTCTAAAAAACAATCAATCAAGGGAGATAAAATGATTTTACAATTCACAAATGATGCTTGTATTTGTACTAGTAGTTGTAGAAATTAAGTCAAGAAATTAGTCGCCATTGCAAAGGCTGGTACAGAATAAAACTCAGCTTCTGAGAATTTTGAAATGGAAAAAGTCAAACCTGTGCTGGCCCTCCTCCAAACTGAGGGACGGGACACTCAGGAATCCATCCCCAATCATCAAATCGATCTTTACAGAAGGTTAAGTTGTGCACCGGATCTGTTGTCAGTTGCTTCCTCACAATGAATCTGCAGATTTGAAAGACCAGTGAAACCTGCTTGCAATGACACCAAGAACGTCCTCAAAAGAAAAGAAAGCTGAGACTTTTCCCTTACCCGGCTCCGTGAAACACGAGACCAGCAAAGAAGATGACGAAGAGATGGTGGGTGTACCAGAAGACTTCGAAGTAGCTGCGTCTGATGACCTCCATGGAGGAGGTGATGATGAGGATGAGGGCCAGAGTGATGATGACCCCTGTGAGGCCAGCGATGGTGGTGAAGACAAAGTATGTTGGGGTCTGCTGCGCATCCTGAGACACAAGAAGAGGAGGAGGGTGACAACATGGACAAGAACAAAAGGAGGGAAGATGGTGGAGAAGAGAGATTTGACTTGAAAACTGTACTTCAATGCACAGACTATAAATAACATTTCGACCTTTTTATGTTTTGGCAAATTTACTCAACTTGTAATGAGCATACGATCCTTCAACTAATATGAAAGCATGAAAAAAACTACGATATTCAGGGATTTTATATCTCTGCATGCGTTTGTTTCGACAACTTACAATATCTGTGCTGCGGATGGGGTTCAGGTAGGTGGAGTTTGGTCCGGAGTCTGCCAGGTTGGACAGAGCAGTGCTGAGTTCATCATATCCTCCTCGTCTGCTGTTGTTGTACCACTCCACGTTGAGCAGATGGGCGATCAGGTGAACGGCTGTCAGAACGCAGAGAGGAGACACGTTATTGCCGCTGCATGATCAATCGATCAATTGTATTTACTGTGCAGGATCATCATGCAACATGGACCCAATACACTTTACAATTCGAAGAAACCTACACCAAGCACATCAAATTATAAACAAAAGTAAAACCACAATTAAAACAGTGTATTGTAGGCTGTAATAAAGTGGAGGAATATGTGTCTTTAAGGGGCACGTTAGGCAAATTCTCTGAAACCAACCGATTTCTTTTTAACTGAAGGAAAGACCTTTGAGAGCAGCATCGAGAGAGCAAAGACAGCGTGTTGGTGCATGTGGTGTAATTAGCTCAGATAGGTTAGGCGGTGCAAGACCATGCAAGGCCTTATAAGTTAAAACTATGAACCTTAAAATCAGCTCTAGCTTGTACTGGCACATTGTGGGGAAATAAAGTATATTGTATTGTAGGGCAGAAAGCACACATTCAAAAAAAAAAAAAACATCCCTGAATCTTAATACATTTATAAGATTCATGTCTTGTTTCTGTTTATTTTATTCTGAAGAAAAGTATTAAACATCCACCCAAATCTGCACCTATGACACCGTTAAAATAAGCACAGATATTATCTCAGATCCAAACTTAAATGTTGAGATAAGATTTTAAAAAAACATTTATATTGCTATAAATTAACCAATTAGGAATCTAATCTTCAAACAATGAATTTCATCAGAAGAAAAGAAAAGGTAAGACTGAAAGACAATCGATTGCATAAGTTCACCTGTCATCAGAGCGATCATGTACGCCACCAGCTTGTGGAAACTCAGATTTTTGTCCAGTTGTTTTCTCATTGTTCTGCCACAACACTGAAAAGATTAAGACACAAAAAAAAGTGAAAAGTCAAAAAAGAAGACAAAGAACTTATTTCCAAAGCAGTCATTGAAACCTACCCGACCTGTTCAGGAGGAGGAGTCAGGGTGGCGTTATGGAAAACATGAATTGTCTTTACTTTTATTTCACCTTTAACACCAAGATTCAGCCCAAATGAACATGCATTATGATAATCACCCTATTCCAAAAATACTAAAACTGAAATGAAAAGAACAAAATGTTTCGGCAATATGTTTGGCTGCAGTCAAAGTAGTTTGTATGACAGCATGATGATATGCTGCTATCATAAAAAACAATGACAGCGCCTCGCCCTTCTGTGACATTTAATCATCATGGTCTTACCACAAAGGAGCCTCGGAGCAGCGACAGCAGGTTCCTGCACACCGGGAGGAGGATCAGCAAGCAGTTAAAGTTGAGGACAGCTGCAGGAGCTCTGGCCCAGGCCAAGGCAGACTGGAATAAAACACATGTTAATGTGTGATTATCAGTCGTGGAAGAAGTTTTCACATCCTTCACTTAAGTAAAAGTAGCAAAACTACAAAGTAAGATAAAATAGGATAAAATAAGATAGAACTTTATTAATCTCGAAGGAAATTATTGTGCCAGAGTTTCATTAAAGGTTACAACAGAAGAATAGCAAAAAACAATAGAATAAAAATATAAACATATATGAACAACAGAATAACAATTAAGTGTTAAAGAAACAATACTGACAAGTACAAATACTCTGTTCCAAGTGAAGGCCATGCATTCAAAATCCTACTTTAGTAAAAGTACTGGCAGTATTTGGATCAAAATATACTTAAATTACCAAAATAAAAAGTACTTAATATGTACATTATTATGTTCATTACTTCATGTTGCAGCTGGTAAAGTTGGAGCTTATTTTAAGTTTATGTACTGCTGGGTAGTTTAAACCAGTCTTAGAACAATACAGCATAATGTATTCATTCGTATTATATTAGTGCAAAGTAACTAAAGATGTCAAACACATGTAGAGAAGTAAAAAGTACGATATCTGCCTCTGTGATGTAGTGGAGTAGAATTTTGAAGTCGCATGAAATGGAAATACTTCAGTAAAGTACAAGTACGTCAGAACTGTACTTATATGGTTGAATAAGCATTTTAGTTGACGTGATTCTCCCGACTCACCCCTAGAAGATGACGCGTGTAGAAATACTGATCCCCCAAATCGTAGAATTGGTAAAACCAGGCGAATAGGACGATGTTGATGCCCATCCAGACCACCTGCAAACACAGCCAAGATCATGTTTCCATCACAGAATTAGTCATTCAAATTAATTTATTTTATTTTATTTGAGATGAGGTTGCAGCACTTTGGCCACAGACATTACTTATGCGCATAAACGCTGTGCGTAAATTGGTCATCTTTGCAATATGAACAATTTAATTCCTAACGTGGAGATAGACAGAACTCACCAGTATGAAGGATGAAAGTCCATTGTTGATTATCCAGTTCCCCATGTTGAGCTCTTAACCTCGACTCAGCAGCAGCAGGAGCTTCACTGCATCTCCACTTTGCGCTTTTATCCTCCACGCTCCCGTCCGGACTCCTCCCTCCTCTGCAGGTGTGGAGGCGATGCGAAAACAAAGCCTGAACAAAGTGCGTCGTTGAGGCGGTTTAGAGGAGAGGTTTCCCTCCCTTTGCTGAATGACCACATTCCTAGTTGCTGCAACCTCAGGTGAAATGAAGCCTGATCGCCAGGAATGAGGAAATACCCGTTACGACATACAGGAAGTTCTGGCCTCTGCTGGGCGGCGACGCGATTGGTTTTATTAGGAAAATAAATGTTTGTGTTTATAATGAGTGAGAAGTCATAAATCAAGTCAAATGACAATTCATGTGTATCAGATTATTTTATTTAGGTTTCAAGTAAAACAATAGTAGTCAAGGCACTGAACGAATAAACGACACAAAACATAAAAAAGGAGCAAACTGTGAAAGCACTTTTAAAAGTAGAAGCTAATTCATTGCGAGTCTGGTTAAAGCAGCATCAACTGGGAGGTTAACAACACACGATGTTCCACACAGTCTTCTAAATCCTTTTTTATTTTTTATTTTTCTTTCTTTCAACAGTTTTCACCAATGGTTGACGGGATTTTATGTATTCTTGTAAAACTAAAACCTGTACTTGTATATCAAGGCCACCAGACTGAGCAGCGAACAATACAAGGCATTCATCACAGCAGGTTTATGTAGTTGGGTATGAGGAAGATGCATCATTCTGACTTTCTCTTGTCCTGCTGTTTAAAAAAAGAAACTGTTTCGTGCAGATGCAAACGTCTGCAAAGGCGGCATTCATGGTGCGAGTTCCCTGAGAGGAAGTAAACTGGGGGTGCCCCGGTCAGTCTTGGCATGTTTCCCGCACACCTGGCTCAGTCCTGTACATGACCCACTGCTGCTCTCTCAAGGCGGCCTTTGTGCATCGCTGCACATGTTACATTCTTTGGTGTACTGAGGCCTCGTTGTGCCCCAAGTGTACGTAGTCACCCTCAGAAAAGACATCAGGAGTTAACCTGAATCCCTCTCACACCCACAACAATGTAATAAAGTTCTGTGCACTTAAGATAAACAGTTCATCAACTTGCCGACTCAAAAAACACAATCATTCTGGTTTTTGTGTTAAAAGTACTCGAGGTATCGTTCTGTGGTGCGGCCTACAGCGCTAGCTGAGATGCATTTCTACATTAGAGAACTTACGAATTGAAATTCCCCACAAAGCCTTTCTCAGGCTGCATCCATCATGTCTTCACCAATGGCCGTCTCCCTCTCTCCGAGCTGACTGGTGAGGTCGAGAGGTTGTGAGTTTCGGGGGTCCAGCAGCTCCAGTGGCTCCTCCGGCATCAGCACCATGGTGGCGGCGGTAGAGTACGAGGGCGGCAGCTTCCCCCGTCGACCGCTCGCTCCCCTCCGTCCCGGACGGCAGCAGACGCAGTGCAGGCAGTCGTGCACGTTGTACTTGAAGAGGCGTCTGCAGGGGTGGCAGAACTGGTAGAAGAGCAGCATGAAGAGCAAGGCCAGGCTGTAGCAGATCAGCAGCTGGACGGCCAGCAGCGGGGCGCACACATACTCGTAGAAGTCCGACTTGAAGAAGTACCAGAGCATCATGAGGACGAAGTTCTCCACAAAGCGTCCCGTGTAGTACATGGCCAGACGGTCCCACCGCTGCTTCCTCTCGATGAGCTCTCGATGGGTGAAGTCCAACTGCACCGCCGACCAGCAGAAGATGTTGATGCAGGCGTAGAGCAGCGTGAACATGGACAGCACCACCGTGGTGCCCAGCTTGGAGAAGTTCTTCTCCACGTCGTCAGTCAGCGAGCCTTTCCTGACCCAGAACTCGACCCAGGGGAGGAAGAAGAAGAAGAGCAGGTTAACCATGCCGACCAGGATCACCCAGTGCGTGAGCGCCGTGCTGAAGAGGACCAGAGCGGTGATCCGGGTGGCAATCTCCAACCCTCTCCACACGATCATGCACAGGTAGGCAGAAGGGCGCAACCGCACTTTGTAGTTGTCGTATCTGATCTGGATGGCCAGAGTGCTGCACACGAGAGCCCCGTATGTGATGGAGATCAGGGTGATGATCATCAGGACCACTGTGAAAACAAACACAAGCCATCTGTTAACTTTTGATCAACAGCATCACATCACCATTGACAATTGTCTCGTCTTTAAATGGTCTGAAGCACAGAGAACTCCTTAAATTATTATTGCTTGGATGGAAGGCAGGGTTGGGTTTGGGGGGGGGGGGGGTAGATAATTGCAATGAGCAGGGGTTTAGGACCAGAGAGTTTGAATGTGAGCTGTTCAAATGAGGGTGGACTTTTGATGTTAGTCAGGCTGGTTTTGATGTGTTGGCGGTGAAGAGCAGCAATTCCTCCACCGCGGCCATCAGGGCGTGGTTTATCCAGGTAATGATATCCAGTTGGGGTGGTTTGATTGAGTGCTTTTGCCAAGTTTCAGTGAGACAGAGAATATCAAGTTTGTTGTCTGTGATGAATTCATTGATGATTGGGCTTTTGTTGCTTAATGACCGGGTGTTGAACAGAGCAAGTTTCATGGAGTGTTTTGTGATTGGTTGGGAGGTTTTAGAGAGGGTTCTGAGGTTGTACGCCGGAGTCCACAGAGACGGGATGGAATTGACAGAAGTAGGGTTGTAGATAATGAACTTGTGCTGGGAGCCGATATGAACATCACTGGGAGGGATGTAGCTGAGGTTGTTTTTGTTTATGGCCTTGTGAATGCGGTGTGAACGAGGCAGCCTCTCTGTCACAATAGTCTGAATGGGGAGAGCTGCAGCTGAAGGGGTTGGTGACAGGGAAGGCCAGGAGGGGGAGCAGTCACGGGAAACTGTGCTCTGAGGTGGTTAGATTTTATCCTTTGCACAAATCTCTCGCTTTAAATTCGATGCCTTTGATATTATACACTGTCTTTTAAATACCTTTTAGGAGAAATACATAAAAGACTTACCGGGTTATATGAGGCTATTTAAAATCTTCCGCCCTACTTTACTACATTTACATACATTGGAGGTGACATTTCATTTTATGTGTACAGTGTTAATTCAAGGTGATGAGTCATAGTCTTAAAGGGCTGCAAACCTCAAATTATTCCATCATTTCATAATATTTAAAAAGGTATAAAATTCAGAGTGCAACCCTGTTCAGTAGTGATTTTTTTAGGATACTCATATAGTGGAACCTTAACCCCTCCATCTTACATCTTGCAGGGAGTAAGTATTTCTCCTGGATGGTGGCGTACAGCTGGAGCGTCAGTTGAGGAGCGGATCCCAGAAAAGCCTGGATGACCGCGGTGCGTTTGAAGGCGTTTCTGTGAGTGGCCAGCTTGCGCTCCGATTGTCCGATTTCCCACTCCATGGGCGTCCCCTGGCCCTTCTTCAGACTGATCTTCCTGGAGATGGTGACATAAGGCTCCTCCTTTTTGCCCGCCTTGAAATAGACCACCAGAGCCTCAAAACACCTGAGGATGAAATAAAAGAGGGACTAAGAGTGGAGTCACATGTTCACACCAACAGAGGGCAGTGCAATGTAATGTTTAAGTTACCACAATGAGACGCGATGTCTCTTGCGCTTTAACATCGACATATAATCATCATAGTGGGAATATGAACGGGCATCAAAAGCTATAAAGCAAACACACGAGTAGAATAAAGCAAAAGAACAGAGGCTATATACCAGCAATTTGTTGTAGCAGCTTGTTTTCAAGTTGCAGCTTGTTTTGATATTACATATTATAAACACAACGCTGATCTCAGAAATATTCTCGAACATAAGGGCTCCATCATGATAAATACACCTATCTTTGTAAATCACAGCTAAACAAACACAAACACAGCACTGAGAATCCACCAGAGGGCAGCCAGTAGAAAGAAACGAAAACAGCTTCCCGGAGGCCTGCCTGGATCAACTGAAAACCTCTGGGTGTGGTTCTCTGAACGTTTGCAAGGTAAATGCTCCCTGTGTTCAGCCCGACTGGTCGAAAAAATCAACACTATTCATGAGGACGGAAACATGTTTTGCACTGCGAGAGATTTCTGTGTAGACTGAAAACTGTGTGATTGTTTCTAGATTTAAAAAATATGAAAAATGCTTCCAGACTGGTTTTTGGAGGCCCAAAGGACAAACGTGTGTAAAATAATTGCAAAACCAACTGTTCAAGCTGCAACAAGCTAACTACCTAAACTAGAAGTATAAGGTTTCCACCTGCCAACAACAAAATGTCAGCATCATAATCCCTTAAAAGCACTTGTAAACTGACTCGAAAGCACATCTGCTTTCAACACACAAACCTCGCCCTCTGAGGATTCCCACTGCAGCACTAAATCTCACATCACTGTGCTGGAATGTCATCTTTTGCTCCAAAACCTCCAACTTTGGACATATGACTCCTCACAGGAATCTATTGCTCCATGGTTCAACTATGTGTTGTCCAGACTCTCCAGAGTCAGCAGTCGGACATGTTGCTTCAGCTGCTGCTGCTAGAAGGGAAACTGTACTCTTTGCTTGCAGTGTAAATGTGGCACCGTACCAAGAGTCCACACTGAACTGTCTTTGACCCAAACCTCACAGGCTGGCAGGGGATTAGTTGTTGTTATTTGGAAGCAGGCTCTTATATTATCTCTAAACACATTCAGTCCAAGACCGATAGCCACAGACAGATCAGGGTTGCTCAGCTTTAGTGTTCAAGGTCGATGACAGAGAAACAGCGAAGGTAAAAACCTGATTTACTGACATCCCCTCCCTTGGAAATCTGGCAGCACAATGGCGCCGAGGACGCAGAGTGAGGGTGCTGAACTTCAGCCAGCGTGCACTTAGGATTCAGACTGTGAGGCAGACTGAATTTCACTCAGGGGAGGGGGGGGGGAGAAACAGCAGGGCAGATGAATGCATTAGCCAGGAGAATCAATATGCTGACTTCTGACGAAGCGACTTATAAAAAGGAACCAAGTCTGAAACAGCAGTCCGATGTGACAAATGCCACACAAAAAGAAGCCAAGAGACACCTGTGACGATTTTAATACTGATGTTTTTCTGACTAATGGGCGGCAGGGCATTCAGGAAATCCTTTCAGCAGCTCTTTAGCAAGATCCTCTTGTTTTGGTCTCCTGAGATTACATCATCAAGCTCACCGCAACGCTAACACGACCTCATCTGACTGTGGTGAGTTGGTGGAACACAAACAGACACAAAACACGAAGCTCTGCATGCCAAGACTGGCCCAAGTTGACAGAGTAATGTAGTTTCTGTCCCTGCTTCATGTACTTAAGGAGACACGTCAAGACAAGTTGCAAACATACCGATCCCCTCCTTAAAGTTGCCATATTGACTCTGTGGATACTGTGTCTCATTATCTTCTGCTAGACTCCAATGCAACCAAAACAAGGCTCTTAAAAAGGTTCATCATGCAGTTATGTGTTAAAAAAAAAAAAAAGTGTGACTTGAAATTCCGCTTTTGATAGCAGACACGATGTGTTTGACTCTGCAGCCACAAGATCAGCAAATTACACCGTCCCTGAGTCACACAGGAAACCTCCCATCTGAGACACGAGGGAGCAGACGTTATCTATCTACAGCAGCACAGCGTGGAACAAGATCAACTTGAAAGAAAAGGGAAAATAAACAGAACAGAACTAAATAATCTGTAATAGAAACCCCAGTATTTGTTTTCTGGCTTCTCTGTCGCAATAAAAACACCAGAGACGTCACAGCTTACTGCCAAAAAAAAAAAAAAAAAAAAAAAAAAAAAAAAAAAAAGAAAAAGCATTCATGAAACTCACATTAGAGAGGCGGGATCCATTTGATATTGAAAGATGTTTCATGGTCATGGCGGTTCAACAATCACCGGCACGAGCAAAGCATTCTCAGGTGGAGCAAAGACGTGTGCAGCATCACAAACTAGTGCGTGTAGCTGACAGAAAACTGCTGCTTTTGGTTTTCAGCAGCTTTCTTTGTTCAGAGAACAATCCTTGATAGTCTGCAGCCATAGCAGCAGTGAGGCTCACTGGATCACAGTGCCAGCTCGGCAGGTAGCTCGATCCAGACTGAAATATCTGAACAACTATTGGATCGGTTGTCATAAAGGAGGGCGACAGTCGCAGTCCGCTTCCAATCTGCCAAGAAGAAGGTGAAGAAGAGGAACACTGGACAACACCACCATTTTAAAATGCACCCAATTAGCAACACAGTGTACACAGTGCACTACATGAAGTGTACTAAGGGAAGCACCTATATTTAGACAGAGCACTAGTGTTGTTTTTCCATTTTATTTTTTTTGTTTGCTCCAATACCAAAGTGACTTTATATTAAAAAGAGTACTCCACCAGATTTAGCATTGCACTCTATAACATCGTCGGACTCCCGATGGATAGATTTAAAAATAAATGATCGAAATCGATGAAGCAGAACCAGAAATAACAGCTTTTTTTCTTCCTTGTCACAACATGGCGGCTACATTTCCCACAATGCAACTCAGCTAATGTAGCCTCGAGCCGAGATGAGGATGCAAAAGTCTGGTGAGATCATTTCAGTCATCAGTCAAAGTCTCCCTGAAAGATAAGTCACAAATCAGACTGTCATCAACAAATCCACCAGCTCTGTTGCTCTGCAAGCTCCTCACAGCCAAAATGTGAACGATGTATTTTTATAACACTTCTGTCTAACACTCTCACTCAAGACAGAAGTAGACTCTGGAGCTGCAGGTGGTCTATCCGAAAATACTCTTAATACTCTGTGTTACATTGTCCTTTTACTTTGTACTCAAATGGCATTTATCACAACGGGTAAAACATGAAGTACCTGAGCCTTGTGCTGTATCCCGAAGAGATACAGACTTTTATCAGTTTTGACGGGCTACATTAAGCAATGGCCGCACTGAAATCCAATTTGTTAGCTCAGCATCGGAGATAAGATCATTTCCTGTCTTCTTAATGTCATTGCAAAAGATTCTGTAGCTCTCCTAGATCTTTATTCCTTCTACATCTTTTCCCTTATATCTGCAATCTGTTTTAAAATGTATCGGGCTGGTTATATTTTAAGGGTGCACTGCCAGCCGAGCCACAAATCAAGTAATTTATAAGCCTCTTGGCAACACTTTCTCTTGCAAAGCATTCTTCCTGAGGCCCATAAACCTGCGATGAACTCAAGACAGAGTAGAATTTCTAACCCTGTAAAAACAACACACCCTTCAACTACATCTTATTGTACAGGAAATTCAAAGAAACACCTCAGGGCTCACTGTTAACGTATCAAAGTTCAGAGCAAAACAAAGAGAGTACGAGTTGTATATTTGAATTTCAGTGAACTTAAGCCTCCGCCTACATCTTCCTACATGAGTCACGTTTCACCAAACAAGTCTCTCAGCTGAGATCAACAGGCATTGAAGTGTATAAACGGAACACCTTCCTCAACAATTCCCAAGAATAAACAAGCTGTAAAATTTATATTAATCTACAACTCCTCTCTCCTCGAGAGCCAATCCGGCCGGGTCAGCTGTCTGACTGGTCGGCAGCACCGAAGGCCTTCACCCTGAGATGAGGTCATGAATGTGAAGGAAGTGTCATCAGGGTGGGTGCCAGCTCGTCAGAGTCCTCTGACAGATTGGTTTCAGAGTCTAGACTGCAGCAGGTTCAACTGTGACCAAACCACCAAGGAAGACCTCAAATTAAAAGAACCTCAGAAAGAAAAAAAGCTCCTGATATTTGACTTCTATCTCTTTTGACGACATGGGAGGTTGTTGTGTTCAGTAGTCACTCCTGTCCTTCATACTGGAGCATCTGGTGTGATGCCGTTAATGAGCCAAATCTGATTCTCATTCAGTGCAAAAAAATAAATAATCATGACGCTGCAGCAGTCTGTCATAACACATTAGTGTTCTTGATAAAATGTAGGCGATGAACTGCAACAGATGGATGCTGATGGATGGAGACTGACAGTCAGTGATTCTGTGCACTCAACACAGACTGTCTATTAGTATCCCATTAACTGCACTGCACTGCAAATGGAAAGTGGAAGTTGCATGTCCAGTTAGATGCAAGTAAGATGTGGAGCTGTAGGTGAAGATTATTTTCTTTATCGATCAATCTGTCAGTTTTCTCAACTAATCTAACTAATGTCAGAAAATAAGGGATATTTCTTTCCAACTACACCCGTGATGTCTTCAAATGTCTTGTTTTGTCAGAGCCAAATGTATTCAGTTTACAATCATGTATGTGCCTGTAGAAAAGCATAAAATCCTCACATTTGAGAAGGTGGAACCAGCAAAAATGTGTAATTTCATCTTAAAAAATGACTAAAACTATGAATCGATTATTTAAAAAAGTTCTCCTCTATATTCAATTAATTTACTAATCTTTGCAGCACATAGGGGCATGAATAATTAAGAATTATAGAGAAACATTTCAAATTTGTTCCATTAGAAATGCAAGTTTGGGAAAACATGACTTATGTTCATGGCTTTTTTTAATGTTTCTGGTGATTTACTACAAATCCCATCTACCACTGGCTGACTGAAACGTTGGATTCACACCTTCAAGTATCTGAAAACACTTTATTCTAAGACAATTTCCAGGAGTATTTAAAACCACCACCACCCCCTGACCCCTCACCCACCTAATGGGAGGGCCGAGCAGCAGCAGGTGCAGGAAGAGGACCAGGGGCCGGTCCCGACCCAGGTCCCTGTGGATGAACGTCAGCGCCAACTGGATGAGCAGGGCGGGCAGCAGCATGAAGGCGATGGTGAAGCTCAACCAGATGACATCGTCGGTCTTGTGGTACATGCTGCAGAGCACCGCGGCGGTGACGAACTCCGCGCAGTAGAGCACGGTGGCCAGCACGACGCTGAAGGGAGGCAGGATCCGGCTGTGATTGACCACCAGCATGACTCCGTTCTCGGCCACCGCGGAGCCCTCCTGCGGGTCAATGTCGGAGATCTCCCTCTCTTCCTCCTCCATGGTCACCTCGCGCATAATGTTATTGAATTTGATCAGAGAGGATATTTGGACGTCGCTAAACGCACGTTGAGCTGAACTTGCCTTAGCGTGCTCCAAATAGAAACATCACTTTGTTGTTGTTGTAAATACTTCCCTTGGTCCACCGTCTCTCCCAACTTTCCACCAAGTTGATCATCGCTGGTTTCACATCATAACTCAACAGCTCGGCGGTGCCACCGCTCCACTGCACCCCCCCACCCACACACAGAAAAAAGGCTTTTGTTTGATTGTCTCGTAAATCGTCGTACGTGGCGTTACCACCCGGTTGACTCCCAAGGAACCCCCTCACCGTCTGCAGGGATATCTGCGCTGCTGTTGCACCGTCAGAGTTCAGGATCTGGAATTTGTCAGCGTTGGCATGCGGCACTCTCCAAATAAAGACTTTCGCCCGGCGATCGTCGTCCAAACTCAGGCCATCAGTACTTTAAAATGAGTTAAATTCTGCTTAAAAACACACAGGCTTCGTCCTGATGTGGAGTCGGTGTGCAGCTGGTTTGAGTTCATGGGGATTTCGTGTCGGCATACTGGTGGTTCAGGTTTTCTGGTGCACTGTCAATGCAACAGCTCTGCGTTTAGTCATCCAAAACAAACGGGGAGATACCGGAAATGAATGAGCGCTCTTCAAAGTAAGAGCGATTAGAGATATGATATGATAGAACTTTACTCAACAAGAAAGACATTTCTGTGCCAAGATCAGACACTTAGTACATACATATATGTATATATGTATACATACATATATGTATATACAACAGAAGGGAGGTGGAAAGTACAAATTACAAGAAAGTAATAAACTGTACAGAAAAAAAAGCCATATGGATAAAAAAGGAAAGAGAAATCACAACATTATTATCATAACAAAGCATCTCAGGGAGGTGCATCTGCTTGCTCTGCATGCAGAGAAATAAATGGAAATGGAGAACACTGAACTGTATGAAGCGGTGATGATCACTGCATGTATACAATAGTATGAAAACAGTTGAAATATAAATAGAAACTGAGGAAATGTGTATAAATGCATCTGGTGCATGGCAAGGCTATTTTGAGCAGCCCGACATGTGATATGTTGCACAGGTCACTGTGACTTTGAGAATTATACTGTACTGCTACTACTACTATTACTACTAGCAGAGAAGGCGGTCAATGTTGTAACATTTCAGTCCATTTTTAAATAACTAACATAATTCGTAAAGGGAAATGAGGAGTAATTGTGAATTGAGAGGAACGTTACAATTTATTTTTACATTTCATTCTCTCTGGACTACTTTTGCCAAACTAACTGCTACTGATACAGTGAGCGATGCACTGTAGTTTTATTACATCCAGTATTTGTCTATTCCAAGTGGAAGCACTGCGTAGGGCGAGCAAAGGGAGATCAGTTTTTCTGCGCTTCCATTTTTAGTTTCCACCAGCAGAGAAGACTTGGCCTTGTTATGGGGACTTGCAGGCCTGCGAGTGAAGCTGCCACACAAGCAGGTTCAGTACACACACACACACACACACACACACACTGAATCAACTATTACAATTTCACTCCATCTTCTCATTCACTTTACACACAGGCATTTCTCATTATTTTACTATTTGTTAAGGCTAAATGCTCATTAGACAATGATAACTTTGTGTGAACCAGAACAGAACTGGTTTGATGTTTGCGCAACTACTTATGCAAACAAGGATCCTTGTTTGGGAGGCGTGTGAGAAGGACACAATCTGTAGTGAAGTACCCATATTTCCATTGCAAAACTATTCTCTGTTGCTTAGGTTGATGTCAACATGACCTTTCACTTTAGATAAACTGTTTTATTTTGACTGAAAAGGAACTTTAACATTCCAGTTTGGTAGATGTAACTTTCCCTATAGCTACAAATGGAGTTTTTCAGTTCATATTTCACTTAACTGTGGAACAGTTTCAACACAGCTCAACCCAAACATGCCAACCTCTCTCTGTCTAATCAGATCTCATCTAAGTCAGTGGTCGACACAACCTATGAAGGCTTGTCATTACTTATGCATGTGTTTGGTGAAGCAGTGGTGTGGGTCAGTGACTTCAGACTGCAGAGGCTGTGTGCTCTGTGGAGACAAGGGGGCCGTGGAAGATGGAAACCTCATTACTGAGCACCGGCCATCTGCACAGTGTTACCAGCCAATCAGGACGGGGATAGGCTACACACATAGAAATAATTACACTGTTTGTCTGTGTTTTAAATTCTGTACACTAATCTTTGTCTTGAACTATCTTTAAAGTGATAGTTCTACATTTTGGGAAATATGTCTTTGCTTTCTTGCTGCGTGTTAGATGAGAAGATACCACTCTGGAGACATATGTTAAATGTGAAGCTACAGCCAGGAGCTAGTTAGATTAGCTTATTTTAGCTTAGCTTAGCGCAAAGACTGGGAACCGGGCCGAACAGCTAGCCTAGCTCTGTCCAAAGGTAACAGAACCCATCTACCAGCACCTCTAAAGCTCACCACATGTCAGGTTAGAAGTGTAAAAGTAACAATCCTCCATTTTACAGGGGCTCCTTGGCTCATAAACATTTGTAAAACCATAATGTGACTTTCATACACTGTTTTTTGTATGGATTAAACAAACCAGATATAAAGTGTTGATTACTAAACTTGTGGTGCTGATTTTTTTAAGCCAAGCTAGCTGTTTGCCTCAGTTTCCAATCTTCATGCTAAGCTAAGCTAAGCTAACCGTGTCCTAGCTGTAACTTTATATTTACCATACAGAAAATGACATCATTTTTTTCTTCTCATCTTATGTACTTTCAAGGCATAAAGTAAATAAGGAAATTTACCAAAATATTATTGAATTTCTTCTATGTTAATGTATTTTAGCAGAAGCTGTGGAGTAGTCCAGCTGTAACCCAGATTGCAATAACAGCAGTCGGGGGGGCTTTGAAACATGTTTGCAATGTGGATAACATGAGGTGCGGTCCTCAGCTGCTGCTGTTTTTGCTGTGTGTGCGTGTGTCAGCTGACGCAGGGCTGTGGTCAGATTCTGGGATGAGTCTACTCAGCAGAGGAGGGCAGAGCCTGATTGGATGTTGGTTTAATGACATAATAAGATAAGGCCTGCACACAAACCATTGCTCACAAACATCTATAATTTAATTGTGTCTGCAGAAGCTCTGTTTCATAGTCCGCTCTCCATTTTCCTTTTGATTTTCCTGTATAAACATTGAGAAATGAAAAAATCAGTGCTGTGGATTGGATTGCATAGAGGCTGCAAATCAAAAATATGTATGTTCAGCTTTGAGTAGACTGAATTGTAGCCTCAGCCGTTTATCTTTGCATGTCAAGGACTTGAAAACAGAGCCATTATTATTTACGGAGACTAATGTGCACAGCAGTCTCAGGCAGTGAAAATAGATCCTGTGATTCTGAGGCCATCTAGTGGCTCATGCTGCATTACAAAAATGTGTTGGACTGGCTCCCTAATTGCATTAACCATTATGTAACGTGTTGATCCTCTGTAAAATTGTATTTATTTAAGTTACATTTTAATTTCTTTGTGTATGAAATGTGTCTATTATAAATAAACTTAACATTCCTCAAATGCATTTTCACCTGAACTATAATCTTGTTTATTTCCCTCTTTATTATCCACACTGAAAGTTTATTTGACAGGAACATTTCTCACTGATCAACATGAAAACAACAAAAAATATAAATAAAAATAGAATAAAATGGCAAATCCACGACATAATAAATATGCACATAATAGTGCAGTACATACCCACTAATACATATTAAAATAAACACAGTAGCTTGTTAGTTAGTTACAAACCGTATAAACATTTGTAAGCATATCAACCCGCCACCTCACAAGGAAAAATAGCTTTAGTTTCAAATATACCTGTAAACTTTGACGTACATTGTAGAGTGACAACACCTGGCCGTCACCCCAGTTATGATGTCATTATCTCCCACAGTGACTAAAGTTGTGCTAAATCTGTCCAAACGCTCTGCATTCTACCCTTCCTAGGAGGTCACAGCACGTCACAGATCACACCACAAGACACAATTGCTCTCCAGGAGGGATACATGCACCTTTGTTTGGTCTAACTAGAATAACCACGCCATCCAATGGGATTAGCGATTGGTTCAGAGGACTCTGGGATTGGTTGGAATACCAATACAATGTTTCCTCAGGTTATACCTCCCACATGGGGTGACTAAAGGCTTACTGTGAGCCTGATTAGTTTGGTAGCAGGAGGAAACAACATGTTAATAGAGGCGAGCACCCAAACAAATGCATGGACATAGACTCACTTCTGTAAGTATTCTTTAAATTCCTTCCGTTTTATTAATCTCTTGCACATTTTGCACCTCTTGCATGTGATGTAGTCAGTCAGTGATTTCACCGAGTTTGTAATACTTTGTTTTAATCCAATGATTCACTGCATTTTACCACCCGTGTGAACTGTTCAGTCATTGTGTGAATTTAAACCGGTGCACTGTTATGTACAGTGTTTTTAGAAGTTATTCGATATATGAACAACAATGTCATGCTCATATGATAGTATTTCTATCGGCGACTAACACAAAGTAATCTACTGTAGGTCTTCTGTCCTGGCTTATCTTTAATTTACAAAGTATGGACCAAAACCAACCATTCAATGGGAACCAGAAACATCTCAGTAACCAGAATTACTTTAGTATTTGGCAAAATAAACTAGAAATTATGTTTTCTATTATGCACACACATTTTTGAATATAGATTTCATTTTTTTTTTTTTTAAATCTCCACAGAGCAAACACTTTTACATTCACACAGTCCACAAATTGCACGTTCGGTACTGCAGATGGATGTTGTATTTATATTGACACTTTTATACTAAACTTGCTCTAAATGATTTGAGATACGTATAAAAAATACTCTTCTCAAACATGAACATCCTCACTGAGTGTACACGGTGGTGACCTCAGTGTCTTTTACAGCCAAAACAAATGGGTCAGCTCGTCAACAATACTGTTCTAGACAGTATTGCAGGCTGTTCTAGACTGGCTTTATCAGATTACGGAGCCTCAACAGATGCACTGGAGTAAGGACTGTGTTTTTTTTAGCACATGGCCCCACTTCCTCAGACACACCTGCTGCGTGTGTGTAACAACACTTGAGAGAACCCCTCATAGTTCCCTAAAGCTCCCATCAGCATTGATTAATTTTATGCCAAGAACCTAGAAAAAAATAAGCTTTGAAATGAAGGTGAGCTAAGAATGCTAATAAAGCCAATTAGCGAGCGGTAAAAAGAGACATTAGGCAATCAAAGCATCACCCAGATGTCTGACCAACTGTAAAAGTCTCCTACAGCAGACACAAAGCATCTTTGTGTTGGACCTGGCCGTGACCCCCCAGTGACTCCACAGACCGGCCCTATTTTAGTACGTGTGTGAGTCGTACTTAGGTTGACCATCTGTTTGCAGGTACCAGTTCCAGAGAAGATGGTGGCCGCTGTGCTCACCTTGCTCACCTCAAGTAAACATGTTCAACCTGATGACCAACTGCTGCACCTGGGTCTCCAAAATACAGGAGCCGATCAGGTAGCTAATAACATATTTCTTTAAAATTGAATGAAATGTACAATTAGTAAGAACAAAAACAAATACACACTTAAAATACAAACAAAAGTGAGAAAGCGTTCAGTACAGAAAAAAACAAAACAAATTCGATGCCACCTGACGTGATTTCCGGTTACTGCTTTAATTTACAGCTGTCAACGAAAGCTATATGGTGCTCCTTTATAAGTGAAATTCTATACTGTGCATGCTTCTTTGCAGGAAAGTGACCATTCTGGTGGTTGGTCTTGACAAAGCAGGAAAAACATCCTCCATCAGAGGGATGTTAAGAGGTAATTCAGTTACTTCAAGACCAATGTATCTCTAAAAGTGCTTAAAGCGGAAACACAACAAATTATCTACCTGTATTTTACTTCCTGTTCTTTTCAGTTCCCCATGGTGCTGAAGCTGGACCCACCCACGGCTGCGTCCGAAGTGAGCTGAGAGTGGAGAACTACCAGGTCACCTTGCTGGATGTGGGGGGGTCAGCAGAGTCGAGAGGAGCCTGGCGGGAGCTCTATGGAGAGGCCCATGGGATCATCTTTGTGGTGGACTCCAGTGACAGGCAGAGGATTAAGGAGGTCAAGGAGGTTCTCGCCGACCTGCTGAAGCAACAGAGAGTGGCGGGAAAACCCATATTAGTGTAATTATACTCAACTTCATACGTACATTACAAGTGAGACCTAACTAACATCATGTACAATGTAAACAGTGCCCTCTGGTGGCTGATGAGGGAAACACTGAAATAAGTAATGACTGGATAACTGTGAAGCTAAAGTGTGAGTGACTTAGGCCTGTGCTGAAACTTTAACTTTTTAGGTTGGCCAACAAACAAGACAAAATGAACGCTTTGCTGGGAAGTGAGTTGATTGAGTTTCTGGTACTGGAGAAGCTGGTCAACCAGAGCCGCTCTCTGTGCCATATTGTAAGTGTTTAAATTTCAAGAATGCAAACCCAACAAACACACATCTCATGTAGGAATTGAAGCAGACATATAGATGACAGACAAACCTTTCTATTTTCTCTCTCAGGAGCCTTGTTCCGCCTTGATGGACCTGCGACGCTGGTCGGACAGAAAGAGTCAACGAGGCCTTCGCTGGTTGCTGCGTGCTGTTTGTCTGAATTACCCCGAGCTGTGCACTCGTGTAGTCCAGGACAGCAAGAGGCCTCTGGAACCAAGAGAGGGGGAAAAGACCTGGAAAACAGAGAAAGTTCGCAGAAAAACCAAGGGGGAACGGTAGGAGAGGCCTTAACAGTCTTTCTTTTACACATGCACATATTGTACAGATCAACAAAAACCTAAAGAGTACTAATTTGACCTTATATGTTCAATGTTTTCTCCACTCAGAATGAAATCCAGCAAGTCAGATCTTCGCCAGGTTCATCGGCCAAAAGAAAAGGAGAAAAAGACAAAGGGTGAAGGGAAGCTGCAACCCATTCGAAACATGCTGCAAAAGGTCAGGAAAATATCTTAATCCCCTTTTTAAAACTACACTCAGTGGCTTCTGGATAACGTACACCTGTAAAATAATGCAATCAACAGTTCAGCCAATTCGGCCTAATTTATAATAATGATGTTTAATAAGGATGTAGTTTGCTGTGGTGTTGAACTAGACTGCATAATATTGAGAGATGTTTCTAATGTTTTGCCAAATGGGGGAAGAATTTTTAAACAAAACTCAATATAATGTCCACTGTTACCTTTGTATTTTGGTTGTCATGATTGTGACGTCCTTGATAATGGGATGTATAATTAATGTTACAATTAATAGATGGTAAATTAAACTCAAAAGTCTGCAATTTACAGGAAACCACTCTCAAAAAGAAGCTGAACACAAAGAAGAAGAAGAAGAAGTCGAATAAGGAAAAGGTAGGCGAAAAAGATGAAGGAGAAGCAAATGAGCAGGAGGAGGAAGAGGAGGGTGAAGGTAACGGAGGAGAGCATGAAAACTCTGGTCACAGAGAGAAAGCCAGCAGTGCCCTGATCCCCCCAAAAAAAGGCAAAGTCAAACGCAACACAAAAGTGAAAGAAGAAGCTCTGGACATGCCAGAATCACCGGACAATGACAAGAAGCCGCTCAAAGGTTCAAATCTGTTATTAATGGCCTATATGTTGTGGTTTTAAGCAGTTTAAGAATGCAAGTCTAACATTTATTTCATTTTATGTCCAGCTAAAGGGGAAAAGAAGAGGAAGAAAAAAATAGTGAAAGTAAAAAGGAAGAACAAGATCAACACAGAGGAGATGTCTGAAGCTTACGCTCAACCCGTGGACCTGTCTGCAACCTTTGGTGAGCCTCGTCCACTTCTTGCACCTCCATTTAAATGCAATGACATTTTGGAAATTAAATGAAAACAGAGCTTTGATTTTAAAAAATATGACCATGTTCCCTGACAGATCTTTACCGAAAAGCAATGCTGGCTCTGAAGGAACGTCAGGATCAGAGACAGTGAGAGCGAATCCTGAGACCTGAGTGTGAGGATGTGGCAGCGGCAGTGGGACACGGGCCGCACTGCAATACTTCAAAGACACACAGATCCTGTTACGTCTTCATCACCTAGTTTTTACACTAGATATCAGACCTGATCCCTGAACGTTCGGAGTAAAATTCCAATGTGTAGTGAAGGGCAGGTCTGCATAATGATGTGTTAATAATATACAATTTAAATAAAAACATTGTAGATAAATATATAAATAACAATGTATACATTTTCAGAAGTAAAAGATGAAATTGTGTACCTGGCCAAAATGTTAAATTAGTTGTTTTTTTTATAATTCTATGCAGTTGTTAATTAATTACTAATTTTTGAACTGAATACATTTTTTTAAACATGTTTTGAACACTTTCCAGAAATGACCACAGCACTGGTACAATGGACGTTGTTGATAATAACAATAAACATGTTGTCACTACTTTCATGTCATATCTATTGTGTTTACAGGTATTGTTCTAACAGCAAATTAAGTATGTATGCTACAAGTTATTTAGATTTTAAAATATAACACAGACAACGAGCAAACAACAATATTGTTTGAATACCCTAAGCTGGGTTGTATTGTTTCCCCCCTGTTTTTGTAATTTCATAATTACTCAGAACTCAGCTCCTAAAATGTAATGATCACAAGACATTCCTCCATGGCAGCCTTCCAGTCATCTTGACCATCATTTATACAATCCACAATTAACTTTCTATATCTGGAGAAACTCTGTATTTACCAGATGGTACGGCAGATTTGGGGATTAGTGCAGCAGCTTCTATCAATGTTGACTGTACTGTCCTTGACAAAATGCAAAAAGCAATGACAAAAATAGTTAATCTGACTAAACACAAACATAACTTCTGTGGTTTGTTGAGTGAGCTGATAAGTTTTTCTTTCAAATGCACTGCGGCAAATAGTTCTGTAGAAGTTTAAAGTGTCTCCACTACTTATGGTGAATTTGTGACCTTATTTTTCATCATGTAAGATATTTCTACCTATTTCTATAAAAAAAGGATATACCTACATGGTGTTTTACATGTTTGGTGGAGAAAAAGCTTCTTTGTTCAAGTTTTGTTAGACTATAAAAAGTACAAAACTTATAATGAATGGATGGATGACTTCCTAAGCTAAGGGATGTTGGTGAAAGGGACCAGGCTGAACTCTCTTTTTACATTAAAAAGAGCTGGACCTTATCTCCTCAGCAACAGCTGCTAAGAATACTGAATGTACCGTCATTTATGAAGGAATAATTTACCATTTTCATTTTTTGTTGCACAAATGTATTTATTTTTAAACTTCTTTAGCCTTAGTTGTGTGAAAGAACAACACAAGAGCAACAAACTGTTATAGATTTTAAAATAATATGTATATTTTATGTTGAACTATGAAGCCTTTTGTAAAATAAATAAATACATACAAATATGTATATTATTTATTATTTATTATTTATATTATATATATATATATATATTATTTTATATGAAATAATCTGAAAACTTTACTTTTAGAGTGCCCATTGGGGTCTCCGGACTCCTGTCAGGTTACTTGGATGAGGCTGTGAGGGGGGACCGGCGCGTCGCCATCTTTGTAGTTCACCCAGAAGCCCATCCCCCCCCTCCACCCTCCCGTGGTGCATCTTCACTGGTAAACCGTCCGACTTTCATTCACTTCGGTGGGAAGCGCCTGCTGCACACGCACGGTGGCGAAAAGATGGCCTCACCAAGGACAATTACTATCGTGGCCCTTTCTTTTGCTTTGGGTCTGTTCTTCGTGTTTATGGGAACCATTAAGCTCACTCCGAGACTAAGCAAAGATGCATACAGTGAAATGGTGAGTACATCTGAACTGTTCGCATCTAAAGGCCATTGTTCTGTGGTGCAGGCTGCAGACGCGAAAGGCTCTCAGGCTCGAGTAATGTGATGCTGACCTAAATAGTAAAATATATATGACAAATTAACGCTTTCGATAATGCTCTTATTTTCTGCCCCTGTGAAGCATTTGTTAATTTTCCAGAGGAGATCCCTATATAGCTCCATCATGTTAAACCCTGCTGTAACGTTATTACATGTACTAACACAGTTAGCACATGGGCTAAGCCTGTGTGTTTTACGATAAGGCATACAATATGTCGGTATGAACACGGGGAACATCAATGAATCCGTAAGGATACATAAAATACTCCCTAATGTGTCCATCGTTAACGCTGGAACAGGGATTGATATGAACGCATCGTGTTCACACATGCTATAATGTAGCTGAATGTTGCAAACGTGCCGGATAACAAACCCGTTTAGAAGTTGTAGCGTGCTCTTTGTATCGTATTAAAATAGGTTGTCGCTGCTAAGCTTCTCGTTTGATTTGAAGAACAACAGCTAAACAGCAATGGCGGCGTGTTCCAGCAAATTCTGTGAGATGCACCTGCCGGTGCTGATGCTGAAATGTGGAAGATGATATAGCTTCACGCAACATCAAAACTAACATGCTCATATTATATTTTACTGTAATAATTGTATACGTTAATATGTTTTTGTTAACCAGGGTGCAATAGGTGGAAGAGTAATTGTGCAACCACAGTGGTGAAATAAAAGCATTTGAATGTTGAACTCTTGACTTGTGTGACTGAATGGTGACCTAACATTAAGGCCCTTAAATGGCCTAAAAAAGACACCCATGAGAGTTCATATGAGTTTAGTTAAATGTGAAAAATATTTATGATATATTTGTATTTTATCCTTTCAGAAAAGGGCATACAAGAGCTATGCCAAGGCGTTGCCAGGCCTGAAAAAGATTGGTATCAGCTCAGTCCTGCTTCGCAAGATCATCGGCTCTCTGGAGGTGGGCTGCGGTGTGGTGCTCACCCTGGTGCCGGGCCGGCCCAAGGATGTGGCCAACTTCTTGCTGCTGCTGGTCATGCTGGCTGTCCTGTTCTTCCACCAGCTTGTAGGAGACCCCCTGAAACGGTACGCCCACGCTCTAGTCTTTGGTATTCTGCTCACCTGCCGCCTGCTTATTGCCCGCCAGAGTGACGACCGGCCGGAGCGAGAGGACAGCAGAGAGGAACAGCACGTTAATGACCAGGAAAAGAACAAGGTCAAGCAGTCCTAAGATCCTCTTCTACTTTGGTCCAAGCCACAACAAAGGGAACCTGGTGCGCCCCTATGGATTGTAGTAAATCAAATTTTGAAGGAATCAGTCACATCCAGTAAAAACCCCCCCCCCCCCCCCCCACACACCCATCTCCTGTCCCATCCAGCTAGCTGACTGATTACGCTCACCTCCTCTTCTGCACTCTTACTGTGAAATGAGAACTCCCGATCCATAACCGTGGACAATTATACCTGTGGAAACTCCCATGAGCTCGACTCATTGTCTAAATAGTGAATCCATGTTCCCTATTTATTCTAGTCCTACACTGTGCTAAATGTGTTTTGTTTGTAATTAAGTACGAATTTCATTTATGCTACGAGTTGATTTGAGGATGCTGTTTTTCATGAAAGAATCTTTCTAGCTTGTTTTTTCTAATTTGTTTTTATACTGTAAGATTTAGGAATTTCAATAGTTCAAGCATGCTCCATTCGGTCAAGGGTATGGAAAATGAACACTTTTAAAACAATTTTGTACTAATAATACATCAGCTAGTATTACATATCCACATCTTATTTTGGTGCAGTGTTACCAGAAGGTTAATAGAAAGAAAAAAATATGAATCCTCGTTCCTTTTTCATCTCAGTAGGCCTACATTTTTGTAGCAGTGCGCATGAAATACTTTCTCCCAAAGTAAATAAGCTGCATTCCTCTTTCTCCTTTCAGTTCAGTTGTCACAGTGGAGTTGTTTAGCTGGGATGTACAGCAGCTGCTGCCTCAGGTGTCTGCTGCAAGCTTGTACAGCAGAACGACCAAATCAAAAAAATGTCCTTTGGCCTGTTAAAAATTGAATTTTACCTTTTTGTAATTCACAGTTGAAGTCTTAAACGTATTCACTGTCTCTTAAAGATTCTGCTGATCAGTTTGGTTTTACTTCTCTCTGAAGATATTAAAACATATTCCTGTTACAGTTCTGCTTAGGGGATGATTTCTCAATTACAAATCCTGTCAGTTAGTTTTAAGGTTCACAATATTTCTGTAAACGATATACTTAAAATAAAGAATTGGAGGTGAAACTGACTTTTTTTTCATTAGCTCTCTTGCAGCAATGGGTTTTGTGTTTTCATCTTGTCATATAATTTCAGGCAGTCCCTCTTAGCACATGAACTACAGACAAAGTTTTATCGGCCAAGATATGCAGTGTTTCTCACTATGATCTGTAAAGGATTTGCTTATTTTGTTTCTGTGTATTACAGGTTGATGCGTTTTGTGAACTCAATTCTTGCGTAACAAGCCAAGAGCTTAAACTCTTCATTTACGCTGCTGACAAGTAAATCACATTTTCATTTAGTCAGAAATTAATGTAGCTTTGAGGAAGAGGCATCACAGAGGAAATGCCCTGAATCAACTATTTTATTTTGTGAATATACCTTTTGATGATTTTTGACTTTTGACTTTTTTAGGGAATGGGCTAAAAATGTGCTTTGTTTAGTGCAAAACCCATCCCTGAGTCTAACCCTACATGGTCGACCTCACACTGGGGACGAGGGGACAAGCAGCATCATTTAGACACAAGGATCAATCTGTTATGTCTCCTGCCATCAAGACAAAATGGAGGGATTGTGGACCTACTCCTCCCCCTAAGCATGAAAACCGGACTCGGGGTCAGTTACAGTTCACAGCTCACAGTTTGGGGGAAAGACACTGGTGTTTGCAGAAGAGCTTGACCAACATGAAAACATATAAATAAATACAGAAACGACTACATTTCTACAGAGACTGCACCTACTCCACTTTCTCATGTCTGTCATTTTCTGACCATTTGGTTTTGAAATGTTTATATTTTTTGTAGTTTTGGTTTTATTAGGCCTGATTTTGAGAAATCTTTTGTCGATTAATCTAATCGACTAATCAGTCAGCCAATTGTTAATGCCCTGTTTTAATGATTCAGGTTCTCAAATGTTAATTTGTGTTTTTCTTTGTCTTCAATGACAGTAAAATAAATATTTTTGGGTTTTTGGACTGTTGGTCAGACAGTTGAATAGGTAACATAGGCTACTTGAGATGGACACTATTTCCTTAAAATGTATAGACCAAAGCGATTATTATTATAATTATATAGAAAATAAAAAGATGACTAATCGAAAATGGAAATACTCAGCCCTAGAGTAAAATGAAGAATTTAATTTGCGATGTTCACAGCATTGCAAAATTACATTAAAAATTCTGAACCAAATCATTTTCAGAGTGACCCAGTTATTATTATATATTGTTTTTGTGAAATACTGACGTTATATTAACGTTATTCGACGTAGCCTCTTTAGATTTATGAAAAGAAAGATGAACAGCCGCATGACTATTGTAGTCCTACTCTTTGGCGGTTGATGGGCATACGGACTACAACTTCCGGGAAGCCACCGAGCGGAAAGACTACACTGCGCAAGCGCAGACCAAACGGTCGCGCGGAGGATTTGAGTTTTGTTTGAATGGCCGAAGACAGAGTGGAGCACAATATTTACAATTTTTTAGCAATGTAGAAATGGCAGCAACGCTTAGCCCGTCGGGGCCGTCAGATTTAGACCAGTCGTCTCAAAGCTATCAGTCTGCGTCCAGCCGGAGTAACAACAGAAGTCTGAGAGTCGCAGAAAAGGAGAGGAAGAAGAACGAGGCGGAGGACCCGTTTGTTCTGGCCCTGAAGTACTTCTCTGACGGTAACGGACGTAGCTCATACACAACGGTCGATAGCATACGGTTACTTTAGTTACCAACGGTTACTTTACGAACGTAGCTGCCCAAGATGTAACGTTAACCTAACTTTACGTTACTTTCTTGTTGCATTTTTGGGTGTACCGGTTAGCTTTAGTAACAGCTAATGTGGCTAACTTAACGTCACTTACGTTATTAGCTCTCAACTACGAGATAAACCGAAACAGAGCTAGCCTTAGCTTTAAGTTATTTTCAAACAAAGACATTAACGCCATTATTAAAAAAGCTGAATATCGGAGGAGCAGCCCTCGTGACGTCATCTGTTGCCATTGCATGCGTTGTCCCAATTACACTAAATTAAGTGACTGATCTAACCAAAATAAGACGACTTTTGTTATATCTTTACATCCAAAATGAGGTTTAAGTTATCATGGGTGCTCTCTATCTCTCACATACCGTATTTTGATGGCTGTTGTTTCTATAGACTGTAAATAAAGTTTTGATATTTTAGCCGTGATAACAGACACCAGTCCTCAGTAGTGTAAACATCTGTCTGCACATCACTAAACACATCACCTGAAAACCCATCAGTGTGTTTTGACTGAGTTGACACAGTCTAGGGTCACACAATTTGGTGGAACATATTTTCCCCCTCACGTCTGTATATAGCCAGGTTGCATATGATTCAGCAGCATTTCAATTACTATATTTCCATAAGTGAAGGTGATTATACCGCCTTTGTTAAATCCACCTCACACATTGTGTTTGAATACTGTTTATTGTATCCATAACAGATGTGTAAAAAGCTGGTCACCCACCTACAGTATATATCCATACACTTGAAAATCCCCCCAAAATGCTTAGAAACGGTTTTAATTTTCTTCTTCTGGTGTCTAAATAACTAAATCACATTTCCTGTTCTGTCACCAAAAAATACTTCAGTGGGAATATTTACTGTATACAGAGCAGTTCCAGGATTTGTCTCTAGATGACATCAACACTGCAGTGTGTTTATCTAAAACTCAAGGATGGGCCACCTGAATATTTCATGTTGGATTTTACACTCCTTACTGTAAAATATAGCATTTTTTTCCTGTGCTAGCGAGTAACTATGTGAAATAAACAGATTTCCTGGAGTTTGTTCTTGCAAATAGTTTGTACAGTACAAGTACAGTATCAGCTGTTATGTCCCCCAACATTAACATTAGCAGAAAAAAAAACCATCTGAACTTGTTGACGTTACCTCTTGTTTGTGTCTAACTATGTAATTATTGTGACATTTTAAACACTTACACATGATGTGATGTTATCCCTCCCTCCTGTAGTTGAAGCAGGTACTCCAGTGCACGGGAACGATGACGTCGAGAGGAACGTGGTGCTGGTGGAGAAGGTGGCCTACAGTAAAGGACTTACCCCCGAGGCCGTCTCTATTATGCTGGAGTTTGCCATGAGCCTCCGTATGGGTAAGACCGTCACTTAGCAGCAACGGTGAACGGGGTATAATACCATCCATCATCTTTGGCGCTTAACCTGTCGAGGGTCATAGGGGGCTGGAGTCTTTCCCATCACACAGCAAGCAAGTGTACACCTTGGACTGAGTCTGTCACCCTCTTATTCACACCTCAGTCAATTTAAAGCAAAACATTCTGCCTTTCTGACTTTTGTTTCGACTGTGGGTGGAAACCAAGAGAACCTAGAGGATCACATACAGAGATAGATCAAACTCCACACAGAGGTGGCACTTAGCCACTGTGATGTCCATAATGTAATGGGTTTGGTGCAGTTTGATTGACAAGAATGCCAGAGCCAAATATTGCTTACGTAGTAGATATGGTGTCCTGTGAGCACGTAATTTAAACACGTAGCAAGAAATTGTCTTTCATTCTTCCCAAAAGTTCAGGAACACCCGTGCAGTAGAAAGTGTGTATGACTGACTTGGAGATTTGTTTTACAGTCATTCTTAACGTTTGGAGATTTGTTTTACAGTCATTCTTAATGTTTGCTTCTATAACTGATTGTGTTTCTGTGAATTTCTATGTGTAGGGACTACTCTATGTGCCCGGGTGCTGAAGTGTCTGATTCCTGCCACGGTGGTGCCGCAGGAGGCTGTTGTTCGAGCGGTGGTTTGGCTGGGGGTCGGAAAAATACCCGTCAGCACACAAGTAAGTGCAAAATTAGATTTGTCCAAATTCTTCAAAAGTATGTTGGAATAGACGTACTACTGCTTTTGATTCTGTATGTGTCATCTTTAAGATTGCTCGATAGTTAATCCATCTGTTTGTTTATTTGCATGTACACTTTTCAGATTCTTTTTATAAAGTGGGTGTTGACCGTATTTGACATGATTGATGCAAAGGACCAACTTCGGGCTGTCTATGGCTTCATCTTCAACTTCGTCACAGAGGAAAATCTGGTATGTGTGCTGATGATCTTTGCATTGTTGTTGTAAGATGGCATCAAATCAAATGTCTTTGAGCCACAAATTAAGGGTTCACTATGCGTATTTATCATTTAAATGACATGCGTATATTGCTTGCCAGAGCTATTTTTACAACAGATTTGAAAATGACAATCGCCTCTCTGTTTGTGAATGCTGTGCCTTGTTTGAGACACAGACTTGGTGTGATAAATAAAGGTTAATTTCTGCCTGACTGGACAGATAATATGCGTATCTGGTTTAGGCATATATTACATAATTTACAAAAGAGAGTTGCGCTCTCCTGTAATGAGATATGGGATCCACTGAAGAACTGCTGGGATGTGAAGATATTATGTTTTTGTCACATTATTTCAGTGTCCTTACATCTGCCATCTGCTCTACCTTTTGACCAGAAAGGAAAGTGGTGAGTCAAACAATTTCACACCAAACATGATTGTAATTCTATTTGTCCTTTTTTACTCCATTATTTCTTCTTTTCAGTATTTCTATATATTCTGTACGCATTGTTGACTGCTTCATTGTTTTTCTTGTCGTAGTGCGGGTCTTCAGAGTCAGGAAGCTACTGGAGCTACAGTCTAGACTGGTAAACCTCCTGCTGATCACCCTCTAGAGCCATTTATCAAAGCTACTGCATTGTTGCCTTATTCAATGAGAAATCACAGAATGGGTTTATTCTACACTGCATTATTCCCATGAACAGTTACCCGTTTCATATCATTGGTTATGTTTTATTCAGCATTATTAGGAAACATCAATCACAAAGCTGTCATGTTGAGCATGTTGATCTTGTTTCCTCAGGGAAGGCAGCCGTTCCTCTTGAGCCTGCTGTCACTTTACAAAGTATTCTGCCCTGAACTGGTGACGCTCTCCATCCCATCACGAGTTAAGGTTTGTACATGGACTGTGCCGTTGATGCTCATTCTGCTCTTATAAT